ACACAGACGCTCTTGGAGACAGGACAGTTGCAAAAGCCAAGCCCTGGCTGGAGATTCCAGAAGCACCATCCTCTGACCTAATCAGTATAATTGCATCTGGGGTACACACCCATGCACATGCGCACACGCACATGTGTGCATTTGCCAGAGATGATTATAGTGCATGTCAACCTGTGCTCCCTCCTGCATCAGTCACCTGGTCCTGCAGAATCCACACAAGTCTGTCTCTTTGAGACTCAGCCACAGCTATTCTTGCTGAGAACACAGATATTGGAGCTGGGCTACCTCGGTTATCACTTGTAAGCCTTGTAGCCTCCTTGTGCATATTACTTAATCTCTCTGGACCTCAGTTTCATCAACTATAAAATGGGAATAATAGAGCACCCATCTACCCATAGGTTTACTATGGGACTTGACTGGGTTAATCCACGTAAACTTCTTTTGTTTTAATCCTCACCCGAGGATATTTTGCATTTTTATCTTGAGATAGAGTGGGAGGCAGAGAAGGAAGAAGAGAGAGAGAGCAACATCGACATGAGAGAGACACACATTGAGTGGTTTCCACCCACACAGCCCCAACCGGGGCCAGGGACAATCTGCAACCGAGGTACGTGCCCTTAGCGGGAACCAAACCCGGGACTCTCTTGTCCTCGGGCCAATGCTCTACCCGCTGAGCCAAAATAGCCAGGGCCATGTAAACTTCTTAAACTAGTCTCTGGTACACACTTGAGCTCCCCCAAAGTCTTAACTAACGTTATTAGTATCATCATTGTCACCACCACTGACCCTCACACTTGCTGCAATACACCCTATGCTCTAGGCCCCGAGAACCAGTCACTCCCTGCCCACTGCATGCTCTCTCAGGCCTCCATCCTTTGACATTGTGGTTCCACTGTCCAGAAGAGCCTCCCGACCTTCTCCTTCAGGAGAGCTCCTATTCATCCATCAAAACCCAGATCAAATGTTACCTCCTCCATCACATCCCCAGAAACAGTTACCCCTCCTCTGTACATACATCTATCAAAACATTTTAAATGTGCTGCACTGGGCCATAAAGCACTGAAGGAGAGGTGTGTTTGCAAACCCATTCCCTGCATGCATCTGGCCCACGCAGGTGCCTGACAAGTGGTGGTACTGTGATGCCAGGGGAAGGTGGTCATCAGAGCCCAGAGGTAGGGCAACCCCTCAGGATGGGTTTAACCAGAAAAGGCAGACTCGGGCACTGTGTAGGTGCAGTAAGTGGCCCCCCACCCCTGCCAACGTTCATCCCTGCTTCTCCCACCGCCTACACCAGCCCTGCTGAACTGTTGATTTGGTCTCCAGAGCACCGCTCAAATCTATGCACTCAGCCTCATTTCCTGAAGACGCTCAACCCCATCATCTCACGCCTGGACCTCTAAGCTGGCACTTCCAGCTCAGCTCTGGCTCTGCTGCCTGCACAGCAGGAAAGGGAACCTTCTTTAAAAGCGAATCTGGTTGTATAGCTTTCCTTCATGACCCTTCCTGCTTCACCTGGTGTAAACTGAGTCCTTGCAGGGCCCAGCACAGCCTGCCTGGTCAGGCTCCTCTCCTGCCTGCCTCTCTATGCTCTGCCCCTGCCCCCCGCCCCCCCGCCAGCCCTCCCCACTGCCAACCTCCAGCCATGCTGGGTCCTTATACCTTCTAGAAGAAGCCAGGCTTTTTCTACCTCGGGACCTTTGCGTGTGCTGTTCCCCTTGCCTGGAAGGCTGTTTCCGCTCTTCCTAGAGTCGGCTCCTTCTCATTTACACACAGCCTGAAGGCCAGCTGTCTGGAGAGGCTGTCCCTTACCCCCGTCCAAAGCAGGCTCTGTCCAGTCCCCATCCTGAGTACTTCAGTCTCAGCGCCACATTTGCTTGCTCCAAAGCACTTATCATACGTCATCTAACTGTTTCCACTCTGGCTCCCCAGAGATGGGAGATGCATGAGGGCATGGACCATGTCTGTCGTGCTCCATGTTGCCCTCCGCACGTTCAGGGCACCTGATTTAATGCATCTTTAAATCTTTAATGCAGACTATATCAAGTACCCATAACATGCCAGGCAAGGTGCTGGCGAGGCAAATGCGGGCTCACGAGCCCTCCCTCCGCACTGTTCCAAAAGGAGTTGGTATGCCCACCTTACACACGAAGACGTGCAGCTGGGAAGTTAACTTGCCCCATGTCACCAGTCAGTAGGTGGCCGCGGTGGCCTCCGCACACAGCTCTGCCTGACCTGCCCAGTCCTGGACCGCTTTCCAAACCCCACGCCCGCCCAGAGCACTGGCGAGCTGCCCGCAGAGCCGAGGCTCACGACCCACCCGTGTCCGTGGTGTACCAGCATCTGTTCCCTTCGCCGCTCTATTTTTATCTTCATTCCAAGACACCAGAGTTCAGGAAGACCCTGCTGAAATGCCCAAATGACTCTAGCACAATATATGTATGGACTCTTATCATTATTGTATTTTCACTTGAGTCTGATTTATGGGGAAACGGGACACAAGTCCACGCTGCAGGCGGACTACTACCCTGTTCACCCCGCGATGAGTGCAGAGTGGAAGGTGGGGAGATGGCAGAAGTGGGCGAGGCTGGCACTGGGCACGACCAACGGAAAACCTGCCCGCTGCAGTGACAGTGACCTTTCTAACCATCTGCTCGCATGAGTGGTACACGGGGGACAGGTGCCGCCAAGGGCCGGCCACAGCAAGGCCAGTCGGCCATGGACTCACCAGGCAAGCTTGCAGTCCAAGTCAGACTGTGTCTACACCGAGCCCTGCCACCACCACCACAAAACAGCCAGATGCCGCCCGAGGCACTCGGCATTTATCATGTCATTACATGCTCATAACAGCCCCCCGTGGTAGGTGCTAAAGTCATCCCACCCCAGAAACGAGCAAAGGAGAGGACAGAAGGGCTCCGTCATAGCTCTCTGGCCCCGTCTGTCCAGGGTGCTGCACCCCAGGCGCTCACACGCTGGGAGATCCTTCCTCGTCACCATCAGGGCCCTTCCGAGTTCACAGACTTTCTCTCCTCCTCCAATTTCTACCATTTAAACTGATTTTCTTCAAAGTACATACATGCCGTGTAGCTTTTTAGGAGAAAAGAGAGGGAAGTCACCTGTCACCGTGACAAAATGGGACGGTGATCGGCAGACAGTCCAAAAGTGACCTAGGAGCCAAACGCCAAGCCCCGGCAGTCTCCTCTGGATAACGGCAGGTTTCCTTCCTTCCCGTCCACCCTGCTAACACCACAGACCCCATCCTTGTCCTGGGGACTTACAATCAATAGCGAAGCCTGCCACTGACCTTTGATCAGCCCAGCAGCCCCCAAATATATTTAACCATGAAAGCCTATTTCGAGAAACACCTGTTCCAGACACCAAACAAACACTGGGCATCGCTCAGCTGCCTTCTGCGGCACCGGGCGGCCGTGGGAGGAAGGGCGGGGAGCTTCCCCGGCGCGCGTGACCCTTGTCCCTGCAGCTCTCGTGCCTGCTGGTGGCAGCACACCCAAGCAGCCCCCTGGGCCTCCACGTCAAGAGGGGGCAACACCTGCCGCCCCTCGTTCCTCTCCAGGGATTTCACATCCGGCCTCTCTGTTCACAGCCTGAGAAACTACCACAGAAGGGACATGTGAACAGAAAGGCTGGGGCCGGGATGACCCGCAGGGACCTTGCCCACGCCACTCACCCCCAGCCCTGGAAATGATAAGCACTCCCTGAGGCTCCTGTGCGGCTTGGCGGTTTACAAAGTGATCTGTGCACCTGACATCACTGCGTCCCCTAAACACCAGGCATCACTGTCAGGTCCCCATTACACCACAGAGGCAAGGAGGCCTTGGCAAGATGAAGGGGGGGCCCCAAATCACAGCAGGGTCCACGTGGTGACCGGGACCCCAGTCTGGGACCAATGTCCTGTTGGGAGGTCACCCTCTGCGTCACCTGCCACCTGCCCTATTTGTGGTGCCGAGATGTGGCCAAAAATTGGAAGGACGACTTGGCTGCCTGGGCCATGTGGGAGAGGTGGGAACGGAAACAGCAAAGGGTAGTTTAGATGGGGGCGGGGTTCAGACTGCAACAGGGTTGGGAAAGGAGGACCCGGATAGGAGGGAAAGGGGCCCTCTGCAGTCCCCAGCAAATGTGCCCCCTGGAGCACGGTGCCCTGACCTGGGGAGTGGAGGGCGCTGGGTGTGGGGTTTGGTGAGCAGGAAGGACGCCTGTCACCAGGACTCATGAGGGCTCCCTCTGACCACGGGCGACCTGGAGTGAGACTGTCTTGTTCGGTGAAGTCTAACCTCACGACGCTTCTCGGGCAGCTGAACGGCCGGAGTCCAGAGACTTCCTGCTGCCGCAGAGACAGTGATGTCCAGATAGGGCTCTGGGGGCTTCTGCCCCTTGGAGACCACCTGAGGCCACAGGTTGGGGAGAAGGCCAGTGGGCAGAGTGTGCAGGGCTCTGGACCCCCATCTAACTAGAACAGGGCAACTTGAGCTTGTTTTGTAAATGGGGCTTCCGCACAGGCTTCGATCTGAAGCAAGAGACACAGCTTACAAGGTCTGAAGCTTACAAGGTCTGAAGCTTACAAGGTCTGAAACTGCCATCTACGGCGCTTTAGTCTCTGCCCACGCTGTCGCCAGGCCCACTTCCACCCTGCACACGTGTGAACACTTCAGCTCAGGCCAGCACCGAAGGCAGGGGCCTCTCCCCCGAGGGCCCTGGTCCCTCCCTCTGCTGCGCCTGGGGACCTCTGAGAGCCTGGCTCGGCTCTGCTCTGCTCATTAGGGCACAGTGGCCTGGGCAGTGGGCAGGTTTGCACAAAGGTGTCCGGGACACGTCTGTGCCACTCACGCACTCTTGCGTGGGCCGGGTCAGCTTCGCACGGGAGACTGGGCATCCCAGAGACTCGGGGACCAGAATGGGCAGCACCCACAGAGTACGTGGGCGGCCACTGGGTGGTCCCCAGCCCGCAGCAGGTCGTCCCCCAGGCTCCGGGGCGGGGCACTCACAGGGCAGCGGCTCGGCGCTGTTCTTCTGGATCATTATGCAGAGCTGTAGCACCAGTTGGGGGGCGCTCTCCAGGAAGGTCTCGAGGAGGCGCAACATGTTGACGTCTGCATATTCGTACATCATAGCCCAGTAGAAGCGTCGCTGGTGTTCCTTCTGCCGCTGGCTCTGAATCCCCAGGTACATGGTTCGGATATACCTGTCGAGAGAGACGGAACAGAACAGAGAGCGTGGGTGGGGGCAGGGGCTCCGGAAGGGCCATGCTGCCCTCCAAAACCAGAGCCACCAATGCCGGGGGCTCCTCCTTTGCTCTGAGGTTTCCCAGACACTTGCCCAGCCCACAAACACAGGCACAGACACAGTGCGAAGGCTTCGGAGTAGTATCTGTGGAGCTTCTACTAAATACTCTGGCTGGCTGGGCCCCAGGCAATAGGCAGGTGTAATTCCCACATAGGACAGATAGGAAACAGTCAGGGATCCACACTGGATGGGGAGCGACTAGGAGCCCGCCCCCGGCCATTGGGCAGCTAGGCTTGTGCACCCCTCGACACTAGGGAGACACAGAGCATGCTCTGAGCCTCTGTCCGGGTGTGGCCCAGGACACGGTCACACAAATGCACTGACCCTGCTCCACCAGGGAGGACAAGGGGCAAAGGAATCGGGTTCAGGTAGAGGACATGGGCTCTGGGTTCAAATCCCAACCTTGTCATTTTCTAATGGGACTTGGGACGAATTACTCCAACTCCGTGTCCCTTGTTGCTCTTCTTTAACACGGGGAAAGAATCACAGCATTACAGAGTTGGGGTAGATAGATTAGGAAGATAATTACAGTTATGGGCTCGCATCCTGGGTCCGTAACTAACTTTTGCCCTAACTTTCAAGAGCTGTCTCCAAGCCGCAGTCCGGGGGCATTCAGGGTACTGTCCAGTCGGCGGGCGGTCCCTGAGGCTGGGTCAGGAGGAAGGCGCGTTCGGAAAGCATGGTTTTGTGGCCCAAGTAGGATCAAGAACACAAACCATAAACCAGGGCCACAGCCAACAGGACAGAGCCCCCGTGCGTCCGCACACCCCAGAGAGGGTGGCCAGTGTGCCCCCACGACGCCGCGCCTTAAAGTGGTGGCAGACAGCACGGTGGACCCCGACCTCGTCCCACTGCCTCCGGCCACTGTCAGGTGCCCACCTGGGCTGCAGGCTGCCTGTCTCTGTCCCATCACCGTGGTCGTCCTGGTCCCCACAACTACCCCTCCTGCCTGAACCGAAGCAGGGGCTTCCTCGCTGATGTCCCCCCGGCCCCAGAATCACCCACAGCAGCCGAGGTGCTCTTTGAAAATTGTAAATGCAATCATGTCACCCCTTTTTCCAACCGTCATGGCTTCCTATAACGCTTAGAATGAAATCCCCCCCTCCTCCCCTCCCAGCTCACGGACCTGCCTGCCCCTCCGGCCTCACCTCCCATTCTCTTCCCCCTTTTCATGTCTTTTCTGTCTCCCGTGGGGCATGTGGACCCCTCTGCTGTTCACACCGTGTCCTCAGCGCCAGTGGACATAGAAGGAAGAACCTGCCCTCCAGGACTGAGGTGTCCTGCTGGGACAACACGGTCACCATAGGCGAGGCAGCCCATGCCCGTGTGCACAGCGAACTTACACAAGGGATCATAAAGCAGGCCTCTGAGAGGGGCTCAGTTTGGGGGGGCAATGGGAGACGGGGCATTGCCTAAGAACCTGCGCGGAGTTTACAGAAGCCCACGCTTCAGAAGCAACAACACAAGAGCATACATTCGTAAAATAATTAAAAACTGCGAGGTAACGCTCCTGGCCACCCCCAAAGGGTGGGCCTCCTACCAGAATGCTAATCCCCAAGGAGACCCACAGCTGGTCCCAAGTTCCAGGGTCCCCAGGGCGTGCGTGGGACACAAGGCAACCTCTGAACCACTGCCTGGGTCCTGAAACCAACATGCCGGCAACAGCGCACCCATCCAACACCGGAAGGAAGAGACTGGGCTGTCTCTGGACTTCGGAGAGCCTTTGGGGTGCTGCAGCTCTGAAAGGTCCGCCAGGGGGGCTGGGACAGATGCCTGTTTCCCTAGACACTCCCAGGGGTGAGTGGAGAAATGTTTCTGCTGGAAACTGGAGGCAGGGAGGTGCAGGCTCTAGGGAGGGTGGCACTGCAATGGGGACCCTGTCAGGGAAGGAGAAGGGCAGGCACTTCTGGGCCCATCCCCTCCTGGAGTCCCTGCCAGGCCTTGTGGGGCAGACTTGTTATCATCATTTAACACATGGGGAAACTGAGGCTCCGAGTGAAATGAAGCACCGCATTCCGGTTCTGTTCCAGGTTCTGTCACTTACTGGCTGCAGTGCTGCCCGAGTCACGGCCTCTCTCTTGGCCTCCCTCTGTAAGTTCCCCAAATCAAGGGAGCAGGGAAGAGGCTCCGAAAGGGCAGGGAGGTTACTGCTCCTGGCCTGGAAGGCCACAGGGTCACTGAGCAGACTGAGCAGATCTGATGGTGGCTCGGGAAGGCAGAGCAACGGGGGGCAGGGGAGTACTGGCTGAGGTGCTGAGGCAGGGCTGTGAGTCCAGAAGTTCTGCACCAGCACCCAAAACAGCGGTGTGCCCGGCAGAGCCTTGGTGACAGTGGCCTCACAGATCAGACATGGTTTCCATGACCCAACACTCAGCTCTACCTACATGGGCACCTGCAACACACAATGCCGTGGGCCACAGACCCCCACAGGGACCAGACCACAAATCTGTACTCTTTCAGGGGTACTCTCAGACCACAGACTCTTCATCTCCTAGCTTTGCAAGGTGGACAAAGGTGGAAGAATAATTATGTGGTGGTCAAGCCTACGCATGCAGGTCGCATGCTAAGTAACACTCAGATTCACCCAGGTCTGCCCCTACCAGGGTAAGAGGAGCAACTGATCTGTCCCTCTAGTCCCCGTTTTCCCCAAGCCACAAGCCCCCTGCCCATCATGGCCAGGGCAATGGAAGGCAATGAGCCCAGAACATGCTGATTCCATTGTAATGCCTACAAGAAAAACAAACCTCAGATGTCCTCTGTGAGAGCACCTATGGTATGGGAATAAATCAGGGTAGATGTGGGCAAAGCCAGAGCTCCCCACCCCCGCCCCCCGGATATGCTAGGAGCCCAGCGTGCACCAGGATCAGGTCTGAAACCATATTTGGAAACCACGCCTCCTAGAACATCAGCTCACAGAGCCTGCCACCCTGGAGTCCAGTTTAGGATTTCCCCATCAAGTGCCTTCTACTATTCTTCCCCTTCTGTCTCCTGAAAACTCATCTTCTTTTCCTCAGTCCTTGGGTCCCTAATAAACAACTCAGGGGTATGTGTAAAATCCAGAGTGGGTCTAAGTGACCTCTGGGACCCCCAGCCAACTGCCTATGCTAAGCCTCCAGTCCCGGCGCAAAGACAGCCTTGGCCCATGGCCACAAGGTGGCGCCAAACCCTAAGCCACGCAGGAAGGCTGCTCCAGGTGGTGATCTCATCCCCAGCAAGCGGCCTCCCAAAGCTGAGCACCCTCCTTTGCAGCAGCACCCGAGTGCAAGGGGTGGCAGGCCCAGGTGTGCTGAGTCTCTACAAGAAGGTGCCGCATCTGCAGGAGACACAAGGTGGGCTGCTGTTCCTCCAAACCCTCAGCTTCTCCCCTTCCCGGGCAGGTTCCAGAAAGCTCACTTCCCCCAGGAAGGTAGTCCAGGAGGAAAGACACACAACTCTCCTCCTCCTGGATTTGTTTCCACATCCTGCATCACCACCTGTCACACCGTCTCTCTCCTAGGAGCATCGCATGATGAAATGCACGGGTCTCAAAGCAGGGAGACAGCGTGTCATCACAGAGCAAGGACTCAGAAAAGCTGGCTGCTGGTCGTCATGACCTGGGGCAAGTCCTTCCCAAGGCCGGGCCTGTACTATTTGTCCACCCCAGGGACAGGCTGGAGGAGCTCTGAATCCCGCCACCTTGTCGATCAAATCCCTTCAACCTTCTTTAAGTGAGCGGCTCTGCAGAGCCGAAAGCATGGCCTAACATGTTTACAAATGACACCTGACGTTCGCATGGCTTTCATAGGTGCCAGGCATGCTCGAAGCATTTTGTATTTACTACCATTTAACCCTCACAACAACCTGAGAGGTAAACGCACTATCACCCTCATTTTGCAGAGGGCACCTGAAGGAAGCTCCGAAGTTCGGAAATGTGCTTCCATTTACCCAGCGAAGCCAGCGGCCGAGCAGGGCTTTGGGGCCAGGGCTCTTCACTCCTTCCCACGTGCCTCTCAGAGGTGGACCACTGGCCTCTTTTCCTCTGAATTTGGCACAGGGGAAAAGCACAATTCACCCAAAATACCTGGGGTCTCTTCCAGTTCTGACAGTGGCTGTGTTACATTGGGGAACATCTCCTAAGCTCCCCAGGCTAGCCCCAGCTTCCTTGTCTATCAAATGCCTGGCCCAGAGTAGGCCCCCAGGACGTGAATGGATGAATGAATGCAATCATGCGTCCTGGAAGGCTCTTGGGGGCTTCGAATGACATGCCCATCAGCATATTTGGGAGACAGAGCCACAGATGACAGGTATTTCAGTCCCCCAAGGTGCTCCCTGCCTGCCTTTCCTTCAGCCTCTCTGCTTACTCTTCTCCCAGCTCTATCTCCTCCCCTGCCTTTGTGCACCATGGATTGTTTCAAGTTCCTTCACCAGCCTCCAGAACTCTCTAGTTCTCGGAGCACACCTTCCTTTTCACATCAGCACTTCGCGGGAGACACATTTGTCATCTCCTTTTCCCCACTGGCTCATAGGCTTAGAGAGGCGGAGTGATTTCCCCGAAGTCACACAGCCAGTCATAGTTCAGGCAAGTCAGAGAAGGTCTTGCCCAAACTACATTGCCCCCCTGGGAATTAGCTATGGCTCTGCCTGATGCGGGTTGGGAGGGGAACTGGGTGATTTCTGCCTGGGGCAGGAGGCTGAAGAGGTTTGCCTCTGTGGGCCCACAGTCTCCCGCTGCTTCTTATAATGTTCTCAGAAACGGCATTTTGAAACCTCTGATTGTAGAGAACCACCCACCCTCAAAGCCCCAAACAGGGCTCAGTTGAGGTTGTGGGACCTGAAGCTTACATAATCCTCTTTAGGAAAAATAGTTACACCTACCAAACCTGTAGAATAGAAATAGCACCAATTCTATACACTCCCCCC